ACACATTTACACACACTCCGGGTATGTCTTCACTGCACAGTTCACATGGGCTCTTAGCAAGTGCAAACTCCCCTGCCATCCACACTGAAAAACCTCACACCAGGGTTTGGAGGTGCTTTGAGCTTAGGATTTGAGCCGAGGCTGCCAGTTCACATGGGCTGGAATCCACCCACTTCGCAGCGAGACTCCAGAATAATTATTTGAATTTTGGTAGTCCCCCAGTGCGGTCCCACAATCCCCCTGCAAGGACAGACAAAGCCTTCTGCAATTGACTGGGAAAGAATCCTAGAGCATCTCAGCGCCATGCCTCCAGACCCACCAGGGCATGTGAGGAAGTAGTAATGCGCGTAGGGCTTTGCAGTGCTCCTGAAGAGAGATTTTAGCAGCCCTTATACATGCCAATTATAACAAAGACTGAAGCTTCTGTAGGGCAGCATCCTCATACTGACCCAGCCAAGGTCCCATCCCTGAGCTGAAGAAACTCTCTCTCTGAGACAGAGGAGAGGTCAATGTCCACAGACCGTCAGCCCTTGGCCTTTTTGCTGCCTACAATGAGTGACATATTATAATATTGTTTGCTCAAATATACCCGCATGGCTGATACGCCAAACTCATTGCACATAGGCCCACTGAACCAGACGGTATTGTTCCTCAGTCTGTAGCGGGTATACAATATACGGGGTTGGGAAATGAAGCCAGGGGAGCTGAACTGGAGACAGCCTCATCAGGCCTGGGCTGGAGGGCATGCAGGGGGTTACAGAGACAAATTCTTAAATGGCTTTTGTTCGAAAATGCTCGACTGTCATATAGTACAAAGTGCCGGCTACTCTCATCAGTACAGACTGGTGTGGCTCCACTTAGTTCAGGGGTTTACTCCTGCTATACATCGGCAATGCCATCACCTCCACCAATACCACTGGCCCAGCTGCCCTGCCCTAGTGCGAGAGGAAAGTCGGTCCTTTCATGTATAGTAAGTTCTATTCTACCACGCTCCCCACCTGTAACTAGCTGTGGGGCGCTGTGGCACAGCTGTGTGACCTTAGGGGTCCTCTAGGGGTAACAGGTGATGTAGGCCAAAAGGCAACACCTCTCTGTATACATACAATCCCGCCAGGAGTGCCTGAATGCAAACACGATATGCCGTCACCCCTTTGGGTGTTCGGGTCTGACCATGCTGATCACATGGACAAGCCAAGTAATTCTGATTTTTATTCTTTCCATCATCCAGCATCAGCATCCAAACCAGCTTTCCGTTTGCTGGATGCCTTGTCCGCTACCATTGGAATCTCCGTGTTGAGCAGGTTTCTCTAACACCACCGACACAGGCTCTGCCTTCACCGTGTTCCTCCTTCCTTTAATCCTCCCCTGACCCAAACTAGCTGAGCTGGCAGCTGCAGACGTTTCATATCCCCCCAAGGGAAGCCGTGACGCCATGAAAAGCAAACACGCACAGTACATCACTCTATTTCCCTGGGGCAATGCAATCATCCCTGAGAAAAGGGAAAGCACATTAGCACTATGCCAAACAGCACATTGTGGGTGTTGTCGCTCAGCCGTTTGGAGAGAAGAGCAGTACAAGAGCCTCACACCAGGACCCGGAGCAGCAGCAGAAAATCCCCAAAGGACCCTTCAGATCTGCTCACTTTGCCCCATCCATGGGTATGCAAAGTCTTCTCCAGCTGAACTCCCAAGGCCAAGCCCTCCTCAGGAGCAGCACCCAATGCCTACTCTGCATCTCCTTGGTCAGCAAAGGTGAAGCCAGCCCATAGGGTTACCTGGAGGAAAGTCCAGTTGTGGGGAAGGTTGCAGGGGTAAAGGACACAGACTGAAATACTGATTCAACAGGGGGCTGTGGTAGGGCAGATGCATTGCTGTTGTAACTCCACTGGTATCAACAGAGTGAAGCTCGCGATGAATTTGACCCACTTTTCTGTGCACGACACATTTACTACACCTGGTTACAAATAAAACTGATAGGGCCAAGTCCCTGGCTGGTGTAAATTGCCACAGTGCCATTGAAGTCAAGGGAGCTGCAGCAATTTACACCAGCAGTGTTATTTGGGGGGGGGGGCGGCAGGGAATCACCATTTTTCCTGCCAAAAAATACAAATCAAAATAAAGTGAGATGACTGTGAGTTCTCGTCTCCCAATACAACAACCTGGACCTCTCCACCATGCTGCGGTCTTTTCTCTGCTGGGGACCAGTGTCACCATATGGCTAATAGGAACCTATCCAGGGGCCGGCTTCCGTTCCAAAATCTTTAGGGTTTCAGGCTGCGAGGCAGGCATGAGGCTGGAAGAAACACATGTCTACTAGATAAATACTAGTCATAATACGATGATCAATTGTATTGTGGTTGGGTTGGGCTGCATATTGCTCTGACAAGGGGCTCCATTCTGCCACCCTTACTTATATGGCGTAGTACCTGAGCCCATAAGTAGTCCCATTGGAATCACAAATGAAACTCATGGAGTAAGTCACTGCCCACTGTAAGAGGAGCAGAATTGGGTCTATTATTCTTGCGCTATAAACACAACAGTGTCATGTATTCATCTGACGGCTCTGCCAGAAATCCCATAGGTGTATTTAATTTGCGTTATTTTGGACTTATGAGAGATCTTTGATCAGGATTTGTTCAAGCCATGCCACAGCCACTTGGGTGGGAACATTTATTAAAAAGAGTGTGTATGGATTACCATTTTACTGCTGTATAGGCAACATCAGGCAAACTATTTTACTTTTTCCTAACCATAGATGTCCCTTAATGTGTACAATGCTTTCAGTTTAAGCTGTCTTTCCGCTTAGTTTTAATAAAATATACCAGTTCCTTTCATATATTGTTTTGAGTTCCTCCAGCTGTTTAGAACTGCAATCGCTATTTCTATCTATCTCCTCCAACCAGGCTTGAATTCTCAGTTTTATATTCCAATAACTCTCCTATAAATTCTCCCCAATGAAGTGAACAGAGGGAAAAAACGGGGAAGGGAACCTCAGAGTTTGTCTCTGCCCCTCCAGGTCCTCTACCTTCATGGCTCCTTACCTCATGGATTGAAGAGATTCTTATACATCTTCTTGCTGAGGGCAAGTCAATGGGGCGAGTAGACTGAGTGAGTGCTCATCCATGTGAGGAAAGGTTGCACAGTCTAGCCGGAAGTGAGCAGTGACTTGTAGGGCTTTCATTAAATGTGCACGTGACGTGGTCACAAGCAAAACACGTGGGTGTTAGTGTGATAGCTGTCTAACCCCACCACTCCATTCCAGGTTTTGCACAACGTCCAGTTCACACTGGAACAAGCCATTTTACCATTTTACCATTTTACCTAGGGAGGTGGTAGAATCTCCTTCCTTAGAGGTTTTTAAGGTCAGGCTTGACAAAGCCCTGGCTGGGATGATTTAACTGGGAATTGGTCCTGCTTTGAGCAGGGGGTTGGACTAGATGACCTTCTGGGGTCCCTTCCAACCCTGATATTCTATGATTCTATGATTTTGGAGCGGTTAGTCAGTTCTATAGAGATCTCCAGCTAGGATTGACACTGTCAATAAAGCTGCAAAATTATTTACCTTACTGCTGAGATCCCGTGTATTCAAAGTTGCGGTGACCTGTGGCACAGCTCTGTGTCGCTCATACTCACCTAAACTCTGCAAATGTGTCAACTGTGACACTTCCAAGCTGGAAATCCTCGTTGATCCATGAGCATTTGCTCCTATGTTATCAGAAAAACGAGGCATCTAAACAAAATTAACGGGGCGCAAAAGGTCTAGACTGCATAGCTATCTGCTTGGATGAAAGATATTGATATATTCCTCTGGAATGCCTTTACTTTCTTCTCCCTCTCTCTGGTTTTAACCAAAAATTCCATCTTGAACCTGAGAAACCTTCCCACTGAAAGTTTTGTTGAACCTGGTACATGCCATGAAGTTTCGGTTTCGACAAAAATCAATGTCTTCTGATGAAAAACAGATGCCCTGAAAATTTCCCAGCCAGCTCTGCTTTTAACCCTGCAGCCCAGTGCCAGAGGCTGCCCCTGGTGAGGAAGATTCTTTATTGCTTCCTGAACATCTGGACTGTCCTCAGCTCCCCTGCAAGTGACATCAGCCACAGGAGAAGTAAGGGCAACTGAGCTTCTGTCCACTCTACCACTACTCCTCTCCACTAGGGCAAGGGGACCCTGGCTGGGGGCACAGGAAGTGAGTGGCACCCTCTTGACAGCACCCTGGCTGGCCACAGACAACCCATCCTGGCCCTCTGAGAGCATCAGCAGCAGAGTAGGAGGCAAGGGGCTGTCTGACTTTCTTGCCATCTCTGTGCCCCCAACCAAGTCAAGGGAAACGAGTAAGTGACACCAGATCTCAATGTCTCCCAGGCACTCTATTCCACACCTGCTGCCCATAAAGAAGAGGAAAACATGGCTAATGTCTGTCACGTCTCTCTCTGGTTATAGAACATGCAGCGTGCAGTGGGGCCTGGTTATAGCCACAGTCTATATTTACAAAGACCATCAGGGTGTGCACACAACAACCTGATCTTATATTTGCCCTCTCCTCCTATTCCAGCCCCAGGGTTTGTCGCAATCACTCATTGAGCCAATCAATGCAATGCAAGTCTCAGGCTGGTGTCCAGCAGAGATTCCTGACTGCATTCTTCCCCTCATGGGAAAGCTGGCCCAACACGCTTAGGTGACTCATTGAGGCCGGCAGGGACAGTACCACCTTTTCAGTGCTCACTGAGGTGCAAAATAGCTGAGTGTTAAGAAGAGGATTAAACTTTCCCCAGCCAGAAGGGACCAGGGCTGAAAAACTTCAGCTTTTGCCAGCAAGGCAAGGGAAGAGTAACAGACATGTTCGGGATTCCTGAATGTTTATTTTGGCCAATACTCACAAAACAATTAAACCCTGTTCTGTGCATCGCAAAACGGAGCATGGCGCTATTAATCCTGCCGTCTCGCTTCTGCAATTTTCAGCCCAGTTTGTTTATTTTTTTTTTTAAAAACCACCCAGCGACTTCCATGCCCAGTCCACAGATCCTTGCAGTGGACAAACAGCAAGCTTTTGATAAGTTATTGAGCATGCCCGATATCCCGATACCAGCTCATCTTCTAACCCCTTTGCCTACTGGGCTAATACCATACAGGTTATGTGGTAAGATTAGGATTATTTATTATTTGCATTGTGTGGTAGGGCCTATGAGCCCCAGTCATGGGCTAGAATCCCGTGGCACTAGGTGCTGTACAAATGCAGAACAAGCAGAGGGTCCCTGCCTGGAAGAGCTCACAATCTTGTTTTTGAACTGAATGAATAAAAAAAGGAAAGCAGCTAAGATGGCTACTGCTCCCGCACATGCTGCCTGCTGATATAGGGTTTTCCCCTCAGTTGTATATTTCTGTGTCTTCCTGTGACACGCCGTAGAGAAATCAAGATTTAGTTCCACCTTCCTGTTTCCTGGGGTGAAGATCTTCATGACAGGAATGAAGTCAGAAGAAAACTTAGGAGCAACGCAGGCAGGAGGTGGAAAGTGCTGACATTGGTCCTCAGAGAGGCTGATGTTGGCTCTAGAAAAAGGAGAAGAGTTACATTATAGAGAATATATTATATATATTCTACAGAAGAAATATAACTGCTGAGGAACTGAAAGCTCAGCAGCCATCATTTCCTGTCCTCTCTAGTAACATCCACGGAAGATCTGCAACCCCCTGACTAGGACTTTGGAACAACTGAAATATCCCTCCCAAATTATCCATCCCAGGTTTCATCGAACATCCAACACATGCTGGAATGGGACATGTTTGAAGTGTCTAGTTGGTTCTATTGAGTTCTCCAGACAGAATGGATGTTTTCAATAAAGCTGTTGGATTATTTATCTTAATACTGGGCTTTACTGCTTAGATTCAAAATCCTGGTAAATTATGGCACAGAACGCTTTACTGACATGCATCTGTAACCCCCACACCTCCTGGGCCGTGGTGCTCTGTCCCTTCTGCTGGCACCGAGACCACTTAGAGAGAGACGAATGCATCTACTCTACAGCCTTAGCTAAGGGCCATATGGCTTTTAGCTCATGCAGCAGAGGGTCATGCATTTAGCTCCAGAGATCCCAGGTTTGATCCTGCCTGCCAACGACTGTGGTCTGTTGGTGTCACACAACTGTGAAACTTCTTGACCAGAAATTGTCACGACTTTCCCTGCTTTATCAGAAAAAGAGGCGTCTAAGCACAGTTAACGGAACCCAAAAGCCGTGTATTTCATACTTTCAAACTTGGGTGGAATACTGATATATCCATCTGGTATTCCCCCAGTGAGCCCAATGCCCAGTTTATCCAGCTCGGACTGTCTCTGCAGTCGGATCCAGTCCTTTGAAGGTGAATTGTATTGTTCTTTTTTCAGATCTTCAAGATTTAGTCCCAGCAAGCCCTTGATATCGTCAGCTGTTAGATTCTAGGGGAAAAGCAAAATAGAACAGTTGAGGGCAAGATTTTCAAAAGGGGCTTCTGTATTGTAAATAAAATGTAATATTACCAATAATATTTCTGGCCCAGACCAAAGCTAGGAGGCTCGGAAGTAAGCTTTGGGGGGCAGGCATTCTCTTCTAAATAAGTGTTTGTAGAGTGCTGAGCACAATGGGGCCCTGGTCTCGACCGCTGCTGCTACTCCTAGAGAGTCTGATCTTGGGAGAGTCCCGAAATCTGGATAAACATCCAAAATGAAGCTCCAAACCAAATCTGCCTTCCTTTGGAGGCAGCATCCCCCGGGCTCAACTCAGATCTCACTTCCACTGGTGTCACTCCACTGATGGAGTGACTCACCCAGGCCCGACTCCAATCTCACAATGGTTTTACACTGGTGTCACTCCACTGAGTGTCACTCCACTCCACTCCACTCCACTTCTGACTGACACCAGTGTAAGTGGGATCAGAATCAGCCAGCCAGTGCCTCGCAGACATGAGTCAGGGAGCAACTTTTCACCGTACGGTCAGACTCACCAGCACAGAGTCTTTTTTCAAGCTCATGAAGGTTCTGATATCCATGTTCACGTTCTCTTTGCTGAGAGCTCTTAGGTCCTCTCCAGGAGCACCGGCTGGTGTGGGAAAGAAACAAAATAAAGCAAACCCAGAAAGCATGGCTAATGTTCTGAGACAAACCCACAGGGATCCCCTGTCAATCCCTTGGAAATCAATGGAGTCATTCCAGGGATGACTTTCGCCCCAGATGTTCAGTGATTGTGAAGTGTGCAAATAACTGTGAGGCCATAAAGGGCAGACTGTTTCTAGTCTGCATAGACCTTATTTGCCAGGTTGTGCTGATTATGTGGCCAAGACTTGTTATTTACACCTTCATGGTGTATGCAGCCTCCATGAGCCTGGGGCCCCCGGCAGAACTCTCCCATAGAGACGGAGACTAACTCCTTGAATTCTAGTCCTGCTTCAGGTTGTCCCATCAGACTGAATACAGTCGCATCAGTCTCTATAGTGAGTCTCTCCCATCCATGTGGAGCCCAGCAGAGGTGTCTGTTTGGGTCCATCAGTGTTTGATGTACAAATTTGGGGGGGATTTCACATCAGGCAGGTTTGCACCCCCTCAATCTCTTGTGAAAGTTTTGCACAGCTGTAAAATATAAAAGGGCCTGAAACCAACACCTCCGATCCAGCCCTCCCGAACCTTCACGTCCCAGATCCAAACACTCTCAAACTCTGCGGAAGTTCTGATCTGGACTCAACCGGAAGGCTCAGCCCATCTTGACTGTCAGGACTGCTTTATGTTGATCAGGGAGTCCTTCTGCGTACTTAGATATGGCTTGATGAGGTTGTAATAAGCCGGGAACTGGTTGCGTTGGTCGGAGAAAGCTTGTTTAGCTTTGGGGTACAGGATGTCTTTTGTAGACTGAGGGCAGGCGGAAGGGTCCAGTGACTTGGCCATTCTGAGGAAAGGGAAGATTTGGGCAGATAAAAGCTTGCATCACTTCTCCCTTTGGAAATCTTGCACCATCATGGACAATTATTAGAGTTTCTTTTTGCTATACATGAGAACCCTATGCCCCAGTACCCACTGAGAAAAGTCAAGGGTTGTAAAGAAGAAAATAAGCCAATAGTCAGAGAGAAGTTAAGTCAAGTGACATGCCCAAGGGTCATACATCTCCCAAGTGGCAGAGTTGGGAGTACAGTTCCTGACATCTAGGTACTAACCACCATTGTAGTTCACGCTGCTTCCTGGATTAGTTTGTGTTTGATGAAGAGAAAAGAAACAAAGAAGGTCGGATCCTTCACTCACTTGAGGTTGCTGGGCTCTATCATTTTCAACTGGGGCTCTGACAGAAGGCATATATATCTTGTACCAATTGCATTCAGAGCAGTGACGTTCAGTGGGTTTCCCAAGTCAGTGTATTTTGTGATAATTACAGCAGCCTACAAATGTTTTTAAAAAGAAGTTGAATCACCTGGAAGTATTCCTCCCTCCCCTGCCCCCCAGAGCGAAGCAAATGTCCACTACGCACAAAACCGAAAATAAAATACAAAAGGTTGGTCCAGTGATCCAGGATGGGCCACCCAACTTTGAATAAAATAAGCAGCTCCCACAAAAATAAGGCTCTCCCAAACCATGGAGCAAACCCAAACAAACAAGTAAGCGTTGAGCTGGTAGCTTATTACCTGCTCATCAGGAGGCTCATTGCTTAGCAGGAAGGCAAGCGTATTTGCTGAGGTTATATTCCATTTTTTAATGTCGTCGATGGTGACAAAGGAAGAGATGGCCCCTAGGTTGGGAATTATCTTCTCAGGGTATCCGTTGAGATACATCTGTGGACAAACGGATATTATAATCATGGTAACTCACTATATTTTTCTGATGGTGTCAGAAGGCTGTAGGGCAATGGAGAAGCAGGACTACCAGGTACACAAATGAATAGATCTGTTCTCTTTCCCTGCACATGCTCCAGTTCCTTTCCCCAGTACCCCACCCACGCACACACCCGCTCTCTGCATCACTCTTTCACCCACACTCGCAGTCTGGTCATGCTCAGACACAAGCTCACTCCGTCTCCTCCAGCCGTCTTGGGAAGGAGAGAGCTGGACACGCTCTCTGGATCTCTTTCCTGACAGCTAGAGCTTGTAAACAGATGCACAAGTAGATGCTTTGATGTTCTTCCACTGTGCATTACCTCATCCAGCTTCTTCTTCAGCACAGCCATTTGCTGATCAGTGAAGGGGTACTGCGCCATTTGGGCCAGATGCGCCACCAGGGTGACACCCTGCAAACAGGCCTGTAATTCCTCAGGGGTATAGTAAATAGGCATGAGCTCATCCATTACCACCTCCTCTGTTATCGTCTTATCCGCCGGGCACTCTGTGGAAGCAAGTATCAGACATCTCCAGCGCGACAGGGCTTTTGTTTTAAGCATTGAATAATTACAGCCTCATAATCCTGCATTATCAGTTACCCGAAAACCCAAGACGGGAGAAGACAATTAGAGCTAAATGGTGCCTTTAGGGGGCGCTGCAGCAGTTGCACAAACCCTCCAGAAATGTAGACGGAGACTGCCCTTTAATAGAGTGAAGGGAGGGGATGGATGAAGGCTCTTCCCCTCTCCGTTCCTTCTGAGGAGTCTAGCATCAGCCATCGCACCTGACACACATAGCCCCTCCAAGTGGTGGGCATATGCCCAGCTCTGCCATGGGGTACAAACACTGTGGGTGAGAAGGCCTCCTTGGGCCCCCTCAATCTCCTGGTTCACCTACCCGAAGCCAGGCACAACTGAGTGAGCCCTTTGCCTTCCTCAGTTTCCACATGCCAAGATCTAACTCAGGATATTATTAATAGCCAGGAGACCCCCCCCCAGCCACCTAGGCCCTTCCATGGAACTGGGTCATCAGGTGGGTTTGGGGTTTCCCAGGGTTGTGGCAGATGCAAGGCGGAGCTCTGGTTAGATGTTCACGGGAGGCCCCACAAGAACCAGCCTGAGTCCTGTCACTAGGGCCAAGGATAACTAAAAACAGAGGAGCGTCAGACTGAAATCGATGTGCCGAGGTAGCATCCCACGTACCAGCAGCGCGTTTCCACCTGGAAGGCAGGAGGTTTTTAACAATGGAGGCCAGCTGCTCCCTCGGCAAAGGTGAATCATGCATAAAACTTTTCAGCCAAGGGGTTAAAACGTTCTGCAAAGAAAATAAATCAGCAGGGGTATGAGGTTTGCAGCTCCTGTGTGTTTCTCTGTGACCACTTACATAGCCAGGAACCTTGTCACTCAGCTGAATGTTTACAAGAACTATGGAGACTTGAACTCACCACCACCTGCTCCAGGTGTTAGTGACCATTCCTTGGCGAGCCAAAGAAATCGCTTCACTGATGCAGGCATGAAGGGGTGGGAGACTTTCAAAGGCTCAAGCAGGTCTGGTGTTGTTCTGTCCACTAGAGGGCAGTGGTGCGCACACACACACCCCCACACCAAAGTGTAGCTACCCCCTGTACTCCCTGTTCTATTTAAATAACGTTGCATAAACTTTCCCAATCACCACCTACAGCATTACTTTAGCGTGTTCAATCTACAGTGTGATAATCATCTAGATCTCTATTCCTGCCAGTTTCACTGGAAAGCTGGTACCCGTTGCCACAATAACATCACTCGCGACATACACAAACTGGTGCTATAAAGCCAAGCCTGGCCAGTAATTTAGCCACACTAAATAAAGCTGTTTGCAACGGGGGCTTGGTTTTGCACTGGTAACAGCAATGGGAGTTTTGCTATCCATTTCACTGGAAGCAAAGTCAGGCTTTGCACACACACCTTGGACACTTCAGGAAGCAGGCAGATGCCTGTTGGTAACATACCTGAGGAATCTTTTGCAAGATATTACGATCAAATAGATGGAACAGTCCACTGAGCTCATTCAGGATGGAAGCTGACCAGTTTGAAGGGGGCCTGAAAACAAAAAATCGTGCTTGATCAGCTTCCAGAAGAGGGAGAGCTACTTTGGGATCCTTTTCGTACTAGGAGCTGCAGGTCTTATGGCCTTGTAACATTTTGATTGAAAAAAAAATATGGAAATGTTTGCATCATATAATCCTCTCACCACTTTTCTCCAACAGGGCATGGCTAATCGTCATCACTGGGGATATGAACTCTGGGATCGGTGAGCCAGTTTTAATAATTAAATTAATACAAAGAATGAATAGCAAAGAACTCTGAATTTTTATAGTTGCTCATTTCATGCAAGGATCACAAAGCACTTTCTGCAGGCAGAGAAATTACTGATACCTTCACATTAGATGGGGGAAGGCACAGAGAGATTCAATGACTTCCCATTCAGCAGTCCGTGTCACAGCCAGGACTAGAACTGCAGGTCTCCATAGCTCACAGGCTAATAATGCTTAACTATTAGACCATCCAGCCTAGATCTATACTGCCACCTGAATCTGAGTCAAAACCTCTGAGGTTCAGAAAAGTTTGGTTAACTTATTTCTCTCCACCCCAAGTTTGTCTTGCATCTGCCTTTCCAGGTGTTGGGCAGGTTCAGAAGGGCTGAGACTGTTAAGAGAAATGGCTGTTCTAACTATATTTCTGATCCAACTAGAAACAGGTGGGAAAGCTTGTTCCCAGAAGCTTCATCTGAACTGATCGGCTCTGTAAACCCCAAAGGAAGCAAATCCAATGGCAATCCTACCCGAACTGAGTGCTTCCGCTGCTGAGGACATTTCTAATAGCCTCTTCTTGACTGGGCACGAAGGATTCACATTGATTTAACTGTGGCAGCAAACTCCCATTGGAACTTCTGATGTATTCTTCACCAAGGTCACAAACCAAGTGGCCCAGAATCTCTGCGTTTTCTTCGCTCACCAGGGTGCCAGGAATTTTCTAGGTTCATAAAATAGATGTGATCAGTAAAAAGGGAAGAATACTAGCTCTGGAGAATTCACAGTGCTCCTGACCATTCGTATTCCCTAGCGGGGAGTCCTAGACACAGAGTTTGGGTCTGGATTGTGGCTTGAATTTCATCCACAGGCCTTTGATAGAGGCCAGGCTTGTGATGTGTGTATTTGGGTCTGTGCTTCCCCAGAGTTCATGGATAGATGTGGCTTGGGCCTCTCTATCCTTTCTGCAGAGGTTCTTGCTGTGCAGGCTAAGGATCTAATATGGGAAATCAACCCTCATGCCTCCAGGCACAGACTCAGTTCTGCAGAGGTCAGAAAGGAATTTCGCCTCCCCTGTTCAGCACTGCACACTGGGCTAGGTGCATCTGGGGGTGGGGCAGTTTTGTTGGTGTAACAAGTCTGCCTTCTCGTGGAAGCACCTTTCCTGATACTTTCCTTGTTCTCCTGTCCTGCCGGTGACCTAATCCCTCACCCCTTCCTCTGGTACTGGACTACCAGGACCAATGGCAGGATAGGATACTGGACTAGATGGACAAATGGGCTGATCCAGAATGGTTCCTACAGCTCTTTTTTTTCAGGTGACACTTGTTTCTCCATTCGCAAAGCATCTGAGATTCATATGTTAAAAGACATGGGCCAGAGCACTTCCTTTCCGTAGCATTATCCCAAATTCATGGCCACTTACAGAAGAATTCCACAGGTGTCTCTTTACTACAGTCTGTGACCACTCAGAACCTCATCCCTCATGGGTATAGAGTTCAGATCCCTCTGCTCCAAAACCACAGAGCTAAAGGACACTGTCTGTTAGCTCTGAGCCGTATAGGGCTTATGCCACACAGGTGAACAGTTCTGAGTCCGTCCCACCCAGGTCAGTGGTGACACTTTCACACTAGTCTCATTGCAGTTATATTCTGAATCCCATACGGCTTTGGGTTCCATACAGGAGAAATGTATATTGTCCTCTGCGGCCACACAACCCTGGTGGCTGGAGAAATTTGTGTGAGCTGACAGCCTTGGAGACTATGATCTGGGGAAAAGGCCACGCAGCCTACAATATAGCGTTCGGGTTTTGTTGATTTGCAACATTCATTCCGTCAAATGTTAAGAATTAAAACTCAGCCCCTTTTCCTGTTTGCAGATACACAATCATTGTTCTCAGCCCAGCATTCAGTTCCGGGGACCCTGGATTGTTCATCCATGTTACTGAATGCATACCAAACAAGCTAAAGCTTCCAATAGCAGCTGTTTCCGCTGTGGGGAATCTCTCTGCAGCAGGTCAATGTTTGATTCCCCAATGTTACTGAAGTACTGTTGACAGCTTCCTGTCCCTGCATAATCTGAAGGGCTGGAAAGGCAAACACTCCATGAGCACCTTATTAAACAATACATTTGTTAAGTTCAAATCCACGTAAGCTGAAACACACCCCCTGTCCCATCATCCATATTCTACAGTTTATTTCACATCCCAAACATTTGCAATTGTTCTTCCCAGAGACCCGAATGTGTCTCTCTTTTCAATTACTTTTCTCCCTGGGAAATCTGCTTTGAAACCCAAGCTAGCGCTGTTCACGTCTGATGCTCTGGATACAGAAGCCCAGCAGGATATCGGCAGCGTAGAGAAATTCGGCCGTACAGTCTGGCTTTTCTGGTTCACTAGATGTTGCAAGGGAAAATATTCACAAAGCCAGGAAGGAATAAAAATCCATTGTGTTCTAAAAGGGAGACTATCAAGACAAAAATACATTTTGCTAAGCAATCTGTACCTTTATTATTAACACCCCCTAGATTATTACCACTAAAAGAAGTTAAAAATCTAATTCAGTTTTCATCTTTTCTGCAGTTTGTTTTCTTATTGCATTTCATTCTACTTGACTGATGCTGCCCAGATATGATGGGGATGTGTGCATAGACTGATGCATCGCTAGGTATTTTATGGTATTCAGTGACTCTGTTCCTTCTTTACCCAGCTGGAATAAGGCAGAAAGATGAAAGCCTTTGTGAAGTTACCTTAAAAACAGCAGCATGTCTTTCGGATAGTTGTCTAAATCCTTGGGAATGCCGTTGAGCGTCACCCTCTTAGCCAAACAACTCAGCTGAAAATAAACCAGAGTTCAGATGAAAGAAGAGAAAACAACAAATATCTCTTCTGGGGGGAAAAAAACAGAGAGAGTGGTGCTAAGTCTGAAGAGGTTTAGGTTCTTGCAAAACCTTGTTAGCCAGGTTTTGACCTTGCCAAAGTAATGGCTGCGATTCAGAGTCACATGTGGTTCAGAGCTAGGACACATCCTCCCTAAAGCGTGAGGGTTCTTGATAAATGGGCTCAGCCTTGGAACATCTTCATGACAACAGCAACGTGGCACTCTGTGTACGTGGGGACTGACCTGGTCTTCTCCTAGCTTGACATTCTTCTGCTTCATGGCTTTGGCAAGCTGCTGAAATCTCTCTGTTTCCATCTCATTGGCTGCCGCACAGATGAAGCCTTGGAGGACAGAAGGGGAAAGTCTGAAAATCCAAAGGAAGCAAGTTAGGTGCAGTGAGGGAGTCCTTCAGAAAAGAAGAGAGTTGGTACTGATCTTCTAGAATTAACATGCACACAGTAGCATACATGGGGTGCGGGTAGGCATACCAGCCAGGAGGCTGTACATCCTCAAGGATCCTTCTTAGACTGGTTTAACCTGTTCCTCCCGACTGTTCAAAGACTAGAGCGAAATAAGGTTTATTAGGAGCGCCTCCTTGTCGTTTGGGGAGAGGGGTAGCTCAGTGGTTTGAGCATTGGCCTGCTAAATCCAGGGTTGTGAGTTCAATCCTTGAGGGGACCATTTAGGGATCTGGGCCAAAAATTGGGCATTTGGTCCTGCTTTGAGCAGCGGGTTGGACTAGATGACCTCCTGAGATCCCTTCCAACCCTGATATTCTACGATGTCCCTCCCAGCTCTTCTTCAAGCCCTAAAATTCCCCATACTTGGGGTCATCAAGAATAAGTTCAGGGTGGGAGAACAGTTCTAGCCAAAGGCTCCATGCTGCCCTTTATCTATTACAGTCAAGGAGGCCATCCTCAGCCAGATAAACATGGTCAAGGGACTCAAAGAGGCAGTCAAAGAGCAGTAGCATTTGTCCCAACAGAAGCTGCCCAAGTTGGAGGAATTTCTTTCATTATTTCTCCCAGGGTCCATAGAGCCGGAGCCCTTAAAAAGTGAATTGCTTTCCCTATAAAAAAGCATATATTGTAAAATCAGCATGACCTTGATTCTGATTCTATGTTTGCTCCAGACACACAGTAGCTGGAGAGAGAGACAGGCCCCATAACATTTTAGTCATTGAAATAAAACTGCAATAGAGTTTCTCAATTAGGACTGTTTTCTAGAGACAAGCAAAGTACGCTAAGGCCTTCGAGAGGCAGTGGGCCTGGGCCAGGAACTTCATTTTAGGAAACATGTCTAGTTATGGACAAATGTTGCAAACCACCTGTAAGCATAACCCATTCTGTTGGGTTTTCCGGGCCTGTCCTTTCTCTTACAATGGCTGAATTTGAGGAGCACCTGCAAATCAGGACAATGGCTCGGCACACATGGAAAAGCAGAGAGAGGAAAAAGAAATGTTACCTGCTGAAGTTGGACTCTGTCTTTATTACAGCATCGAAAAACATGGCGGCCTGCAGAACCAAGCCAAAGAGAATGTTAGAGGGTCACTCAACACGTTCCGACCCTCTCGGTACATTCAGCTTTGTTCTTAGACAGCTCATGGGGGCAGAGCTGAACTACTGCACATGCCCCCAGCTGCAACTGACGGCAGTGACGAGATGGCTTACTTGTTCCCGGCTCCACAGTTTCTGGTTGAGCTCTTGAACGCTGGGCTTTTTGTTACCAAAAGCCAGCAGTGATTTGGGGATGTAGCTCGCCAGACTGTTTGGGACATATTTAACCAGGTTGATGGGGCTCCCTGCAGCTGAAGCAATCTGAAAAATATAACAACCCCCACGCGGAGGTTAAAAACAGCAATCATCGGGAAGGGAATTACGGGTTGAAGATGAGCCAGGCAGTTTTCCCTCTGATCTTCTGGGTATTCGCCAGAGAATTAATGCCAAGGAATGTTTTCTGCTTGGCATATCTATCTGACTGTGAGAGCTGCTATGAGTCAATGCAGTGGCGCAGGTGAATCTGAAAGGTCTGCCAGAGAACAGTGGCCCAGGGCGATGTGTATCTATCTGTGAGGCCCAGGCAGACAGAGCAAAGAAGAGTTCCTTGCAATGCCTGCCTTTATGCCTTAACATTGTTCAGCAGGCTAGAAATTGGAGTCAACATAGATAATATCTCAGCCTGCCAAACGGCACAGTTCATGGGCAATATTGTGACCAAAGACATGTCAATTTCCTAACTCTTCACACAGAGCTTTGGCAAGTTAGAATAGCACAAACTAGAATGTTGCTATGAGCCAGTCCTTTGGAAGTCTGACAGCTGGCTTTGAATGCCAGTCGGAAGTCATAGGCTCTCCTGCCGGCCCGTGACCCTGAAGAGGGATGGGGAATTAGCCGTGGTCTCTTTCCGCTTTGTCTGGAACAATTCTCACGTGAACCTGAGGTGTAAAATCATGGTCAGCAGAAAGGGTCAGCAGACAGGCTGATTCCCTGCAATTGCAGCAAGAGTGGCATGTATACCTATCTCCATTAATCAGCATATAGAGAAGGAGCTCAGCAAACCGGAATATCACTCTGCCCAGGGGAGGGTCTCTGAATGGCCCTCACAGCTGTTCACATGCTAGAAGCCCTAAACCTTCCATCCATCTCAGGCTCTTTCCCTGGGAGTGGAATTCTCCATGAACCAGGTTAGTTCCGTTTTTACTCCCTTCTGACAGAGCTGTGGCCTGTGCCTAAAATGAGACCCGTCCAAGAGCGATATCAGGCTTTATTATGAGTTATCATGGCAGGAAGCCAGGACCATCCCACCCACACACATTGCAATGCCACGCCTCTGCTGTACAGCCCTGTTAGTAAGTGCATAAATAAGCCAGGCAGAAAATTGCCTCTGCAGGTATGCATGTTGGGTCACGCCTATGTGTAGTCACAACACAGGGTGTTCTCAACCAGGAAAAGTCACGATCCTCCTCAGGCTCTTCCTACAAGTGACACCACCTTAAAAGGAAAAGTGACCTCACCTTTTCCACAAGTGCCACTTTCAGAGCAGAGGGCATGGTCACTATCTGCTTCGCAAACCCAGGGATCTTAACAGCTTCCAAGATCACTTTTGGAGGCAGACTTTGAAGTCTGCTGCTGCTTAAGCCGGCCACCAAACTCCCTAGTGCTGCCAGGTTTTGTGCATCCAAGATCTGCAGCATAATCATAAAGACGGGCAAATGATTGGCCATACATCAACGGATTAGATCTATAAGACAGATAGACCAGATGCAATATACACACATGGCTTGTGCTCTTTGTACCTGATAGCCAGAGTTGAATAATTTGTTAACGATAGCACTGGACTGTTCAGCATTCCAGCCATAAACTTCACTCAGGGAAGGAAGAGACGCTTTGAGGTCTCTGTTGCTGGTGCCATTCTCAATCTGCGACATGGAGAGCCCGACTGCAGCCTGACCCAAGGCATTCAGGGTTTCGGGAGGGAATCGTTCAAATTTGTTCACCAACAAGGTTGCAACCTGCAAAGAGCCCACAGTGACAGAGGAGCAATTCAGAATATCCGAGATGGTGAACCAGCTCCCGGAGGAGGGTCATTTCAGGTTCCTTGTCTTTGGAAGTCCTAATCACTGGAATTTTACAGAGAAGACCTCAGTGATGGTGCCAGTAACATGTCCACGTTAAGGAGGCAGTGTATTCTAAAGCAGGTGTTCTCAACCAGGGGTATGCATACCCCTGGGCTACACAGAGGCCTTCCAGGGGGGACATCAACTCCTCTAGATATTGGCCCAGTTTACAACAGGCTACGTAAAAAGCACTAGTGAAGTCAGTACAAACTAAAATTTCACACAAGGACTTGTTTATACGGCTCTATAGACAGTGCACCAAAATGTAAGGACAATATTTATTTTCCAATTGATTTATTTTATAATTATATGGTAAAAAGGAGAAAGTCAGCAATTGTTCAGTGATAGTGGGCTGTGACATTTCTGTATATTTATGTCTGATTTTGGAAGCAAGTAATTTTTAAGTGAGGTGAAACTTGGGGTACGCAGGACAAATCAGACTCCTGAAAGGGGTGCAGTAGTCGGGAACGGTTGAGAGCTGCTGGTCTAAAGGAATGAAAATGGGACTAAGCAGAAAGGTCTAATCCAGGGGTCGGCAACCTTTCAGAAGTGGTGTGCCGAGTCTTCCTATATTCACTCTCATTTAAGGTTTCGCGTGCCAGTAATACATTTGAACGTTTTTAGAAGGTCTCTTTCTATAAGTCTATAATATATAACTAAACTATGGTTGTGTGTAAAGTAAATAAGGTTTTTAAAATGTTCAAGAAGCTTCATTTACAATTAAATGGAAATGCAGAGCCCCCCCCGGACCGGTGGCCAGGATCCGGGCACTGTGAGTGCCATGGAAAATCAGCTCGCATGCCGCCTTTGGCACACGTGCCGTAGGTTGCCTACCCCGGTCTAATCCCTGCTCTCTGTCTGTCTGTCTAGGTCCCCATTCTGTGGGTAACGCTGCAGGATCTGAGCAGCGTTCAGACATTTCACTCAGTCACTGATTGGACAAATCATTTCATGTGTCTGTGCCGCCATTTCTTCACCGGTAGAATGGGGATAATAGGACTTCCCCGTCTCGGGGGGAGGGGGGAATGTTTGCAAAACGTTACTGGGGTGCTAAGTATTATTAACATGGTGCAGGGTTGAGCTCTCCCTTACAAAGCGCAAAGCAGGGGCATGGAAATGTGTTTGTATCCACTGGGAGCATTGTTCTTTCACAAGCTCTGGAGAAGGGCTCGCACCTCAGCAGGGCTGTGAGCGCCAGGGCACCAGCCAAGGGCTTTACCTGCCGCTCCTCGGTTGTCAGAGAAGGTGCAGGCCTCTCCTCGCTGCTGCCTCTGTGCATCGGACTTGGGACACAGTTTTTAGTGATCCTCCGAGCCAGACTTAAAGCATCCTTTCTGACAAGGCCGCTCACTGCAGAGGGGCTGAGGTAGCAAACCAATCCGTCTGGGAGGCTGGAAGTGGGCAAAAGTTACAAGTGTTAACGGAGGGTCTGTTCCATCCACCAATGAAAGGCAAATGTGTATCTTGTGAGATTCTGCAGGGGGTTCTACATGCCATTGCAGATTTCCCACAATCCCCCTTGGCTTTTATGCTCTTCCAATCTCTGCAGAGTGCTGTGGCATAACGCGGATTTCCGAGAATAACCCTGTGTGCTACTGGTTTTCAGTCGGCAGAGGGCACGATAAAGCAGATTTCTCCTGATTCGCTGAGGGCTCTGTTCGGCCCCAAAAGAGGTCAATTTTACAGTGTTCTTCTGAGGATCAGAATTACGCTTTAAATATCATTTAGAAGTAGCCACTTGAAATCAGCAGACAGCAAAGATATAGCTATATCAAGGCACCAAGGTACGCCACAAGTGAGCTGCAGAAGCAAGTGGTGGTATTTTACCTTGCTAGTTGGAAGCCAGGTGCAGAGGTAAGTAATGAGGTGTAATACACAGCCGTCTCCCTGGGTAAACTGAGGTTACTGATCAGTTGTAAGTTGACTGGATCTCGGGCAAATTTCTGAAGCTGAGAGGGTTGACATGCAAAAGCAGAAACAGTTTGAATGGGCATTTTAATCATATTCCTCATGACCCTATGTGGTAGTCAGACAAGATCAGAAAAGAATCTGTATGAGGAGATTCCAACAGGTCACTAGTCGGAGTTAAACTAAGAGAAGAAACGATTTGGTGTGAAAAATTGTAATCGGAAAATCTGAGCATGCACTTGACATGACCGTCATCAGCTGTAAACATGTGACCCTGCAATATCTTGGCTTCTGGATATGATGAGTTGTGCATAAATAGTGGTAATGGAGGGAAGGATACAAATATTGGGCTCTGCTTTTGTATGGCCTACACCTCAAGTGTTAAAAATTCATGAGTCAGGTCTCAAAAATCAGTAGAGTGGCTTAAAAATGGTGATATTTAAAATCAATAAATAAATGTGGGGTTTGTTTAAATTAGCCACTGTTTTCTGAGCCCCTGAGGTACAGTTTGGTCTCATTTTAAAGCTCATTTAGTAAACCATGAGGTCTAAACACATACTTTAAGCAAAAGCTGAGTTTCTCATGTAATAACATGATTCCAGGAGCTGAGACTTCAAGAAAAACACCAAATATCATGCAACTGGTGCTGACAGTTAGCCACACTGTGCTTGTCAAGGAGCTGACCTCACGGGAGCAGTGAATGCTCAGCACCTTTGAAAACCAGGCCCTTAATTTTTTGTAATCTGTTTTGCTTTTCTCATGATCAGAGTGTGATGTGATGAGCGCCAGTTTCTCTGCAGGTGATAATGTTCATGGAATCACAGCTTTGAATGCCAGAAGGGACAGTTACAATCATCTGATCCAATCACCTGCATAACACATGCCAGAGAACCTCCCCGAATAATGTCTGCATCAAGCCTTTGTCTGAGTCATAACATCTCTTTTAGAAAGCCGTCCGGCCTTGGAGTAAAGCCTGTTGTCGCTGCTGACTCCAATCTGGCTTCTAGGAATTACCATCTGGGAAGCCAATTTCAATGCAAGTACAGAAACTTGCCTCTGTTATAATGAGGGATGAGCAAAATAACTTGGATGTAAAAAAAGACCCAAATTGACCCTTTACTGTAAATAGCAAAAGTAGTAAAACCTTTTAGAGGTTCCAATAAAAAGAAGTTTAAAATGTTCTCCTCTTCCTGGCTTTGGGCAGGAGAGGAAGAGGAATGAGCAGGTTACCCTGAGGCTGGCTGCTCTCATCTCACCTCGGACTTGTTTTCACTGCTAATATTTTGCACATTGCATATTCTCCTCCACCCGTCTGAGCATGTACTTACAGTTGGCTCATCAGCAAAGAGCTGTAGGTCTCCCACTAGGGCATGCTCCATAAAGGAACCCAAATAATTAGCAAACCAAGCCGTGGAACTCAGGCTTGGAAGAGCTGCATTGTAGCAGTTCTGTTCTGATCCTGCAAAACATGGATAACCCCCTCGTAACTAAGGCTCCAAACTGCAATCTGAAATCAGCTGAGACGACTAGCCTCTGAATGCAGAGCAGAGATAAACAGAAAATTTCCCCAAGTGTTTGTGCACATAAATAATCTATAGTTCTTTACATGTAGCATCGTTAATTTGTGCTGGTTTTGTACAGCCCTGAGTAAAACTGCACATGATCTGCTGTTTCACATAAATAATTAAATGTGCACCAGATACTTCAGCTCCTCATTCTCCCCCATCCCCGCTTTCTTAAAATTGCAAAAGAGAAAAGTTTGGTTTGCCTCAAATAATGTTCATCATGGTATCTGTATTCCTCATACGCCAAAGTGACAGCTCACCACCATAGGTTTTCCCCACTCAAACTCTAAGGTACGTGCAAAAAACCCTGCATTTGTGCATTCAGGAAGTAACTGCACATGGAGGTTGTGTGTGCATATCCAGCTGCCTCTTTAAGGGCCTTTGGAACGTTTGACCACAGCTATTTCATTGCCATCTTCGAATTCACCACAGGGTCTTTGCATGCAGGTTAAAGTTTGTGTACACGCTACGGCCTTCTGCTAGATGAAATATGCGACACAAGTAGACATTTTAGTTGGTTCCCTTCTCCTCGCTGAGTTAGCAGAACTGTTTTTTTCAAACGCCCTGGGCCAAATTCGGTACTGACTTTGGCACGAAAGGCTGTGAGTTTGGCTGGCCAGAATGTAAACCATTGTGTACATTGTATTTGAAAGCCTTGTGTTATGAAACCCTATAGGCAAGGAATCTGAATCTGATCAATTACTAGGTTACACATCCCACATCCATTAAAGAGAATATTCATGCACTGTAAAACTGTGAAGCCCCAGCCACCAGAAAGATTGTGTCTAATCTCGTTATATCCGTTAGGGTTTTAAAGTCCAATCTTCTTTCTGCTGTAGAGATAAGTCACTTACCGCCCCCTGTGAGATAATATTTAAGCCCTTTGTAAATATTCCTCTGGTCTTCCACTTTGAGGGTAGAATAGATGCCATCCAGGGCAGCAACTCTAGAGGCAAAAGCAGACGTTTCAAACTCAGCCAAATCCAGAAGGGCTAGATTCTTCTCAGAAGCAGGTTACCGGCAGGCTATACTTGGAGTCATGCTACTCATCACCCACTGAGTATGCTCTATGCAAGGTTGTGAACTAAAGCCTAATGGTCCAGTTTCAAAGTCATATGCAGGGACTGGCTTGCACGACAACATCTATGGAGATCATATTGCTAACTCCACTGGCACCCTTTTGAAAAGGTACCGGTGACGGCTGCAGGACACATGCACTGAGTGTGCGTCTATAAAATCACCTGATTTGTCGATTTCATTGCACGGAGGAGCTTCATTTATAAGTACAAATAGGCTCGTGTGTGTATCTAGAAGGCCACATCTCAGTACAGTAAAGTATCTCCCCCCAAAATAATGATAGCACGTTGCCAACATGGCTATGTAATAACCGTGTGAGTTGAGACCGATTGAAAAATCTTAATTTACTGTGGCTCTTAACAGAGTCCTGTATTTCAGATATGACTCAATCCTAATCCAAGCAGCTACCTGATCACCCCGTCTCTGTCTCACACCAAATAAAAATCTGACAAGTAAATAATATTCTTTCCCTATAAGAATTACTTTCTTTCTCAAGTCTTCTAAATCAATGACACCTCCCAGTCTTAACCCCTTTTGGCCTTAATGGAGAGAGAACTGGGTACATTGAAGTTTGTGTGCCATTACGTAAAGGGAGAGACTTCTGACTATTTCAGGGTATTGGTCATTTTGGGATGTGCTTAGGATAAAGGCAGCTATGTCTTTGACCTATCGCTTCAGCTGCAAACTTCAGTGGAACTAGTCTAATCCTTGAATGAAACTTCAACTTCACACCAGCTGAGGATCTGGCTATTATTGTGCATGATGGAGGGAGGGCAGGCTGCCCATTCCAGCAATATTACAGCATCTCAAGGTCTGCGCTAAGCACTCACATCTTGTGAAGTCTTTCACATGATGTATTTTTCTCATGAAGACAAGTGAAGACCTTTGGGTTGACCACAAATGGCTGAAGTCTCTCAAGCCATTGGGACAAAATAGGGGGGCTAGTTGCATCAGGCATTTGCAGCATTCTCTCCCAGATGCCGTTGAAGAAAATCACGTTCCACTCCTGCGAAAGAGGCACATGAGAGACCTGAAGGGAAGGAACATGGAGAAAATGCACAGAGTCACATGGATGTTGACTTCCAAACACACAAAAATGTAAATCCACACAAAGTGTTCTACACTAATGAATAGAATCAATCCTAACACTTCAGGACAGGGATCATGTGTTCCTATGTGTTTGGACAGCTCCTACTACAGTGGGGCCCTGATCCTGACTGGGACTGCTGGGCATTACTGCAAACAACAACAACATCTAGTGCAACATTTTATTTCTTCTAGTAATTTTGGTTATTTAGCTTAGAACTATTTCTCCCACAATTTTTTTTTTTTTTTGGTGGTAAGAACCTCTCACATATTCTGGAGGCCAGGTTGATTGAGATGCGCCATTCTTTAGATTTAACTCCAAGTGAGAATACAATGACCTAAATAAAGTAGCTGAACTGCCATATTAACTGTGAAATCCCATTGGTGTCTGATTTCCCTCCCTTCCACGGGAGTTAACATTTCAGAGGAATTAGCTATCAGATATATGGGGCACCTACCCGGTTATTGAACTTCTCCAAGGCAGCTTCAAGTACATTGGGGTGCAACTTGGAAAAGAACAAAATGGAATACATGGAATCCATAACACTGATGGGTTTGGAGCTGAGGCAAGGATATAAGGAGTTGAGGAAATCATCCTTGAAAACCTGGAGCCAAGTGCTCTGGAAAAGAAAAGGGAATTATACATAGTGTAAAGATTGAAAACAATGTTCAGAGATTATTTGGTGCATAGACTCCCGTATAGGATCTCAGATTCTCTAAGACCCATTTATACTTGCCTACCAAT